AAAATCGCAAGATGATAATTGTTAAACGATTATGTACCGTAGTATGTTGGTTTTAAAGTCCAATTACAGAAAAAATGTTTGTTTTCTATCTTTTTCTATGTAGCTGTGTGTTTTTGTAGGTCTTATTGAATAATAACTTTGTTAGTTGAGTACGAAATATCTTACTAATATATTATATGTAAAAGTTTGTTTGTTTATGTGTATGTTTATTACTCATAACATAACATAACATCACGCCTTTTATCCCCGAAGGGGTGAAAAGAGGTGCACATTATGCCACTGCACAATGTAACACCCACTTTTCACTATTTATGAGTCCTATGTAATAGGGGGTGAGCCTATTGCCATATACCGGGCACAATTCCAGACTCCGTGCTACTATTGAGATTTTTTTTAAAACCCAGTAATACTTTTCTCGACCCGAGACCCCTTGGTGTCGGGTTCGATTCCCGGGTCTGAATAATTTTATCTGTACGCGTTTGAGTGGCGCCTTGGATGGTTTAGATTCACAAATCAGCCCGGCAGATGGCGCTGCAGTTGGTTTCTAGGTTAGTTATCCTATTTAAACAGCTGAACTAATTTGAATGAATTTTTGTTTATACATTCAAGTGGATATGCAGGACAACGTCTGTTGGGTCCGCTAGTTATTATATTTTTAAGCTAAATGCAGTTTTCTATTGACCAAATTAGTGACTGAAAACAAAATTTGATACTAATTTACTTGCTATTTTAAAACGAATGATATTTCTGACTCCTAATCAATAACAGAAGTGCACACTTCATTTTACGATCCATGTCACGACATAGTTTTCAATTTCAAATACGTTTAGTTCGGTTGACGGTCGTCGAAGGAATGGTCAACGTGGGAGAAGCCTTGTCGTACGAAATTGCATCGTATTTAAGTGTGGGAGAGCCATGCTTCGGCACGAATGGGCCGGCTCGACCGGAGTGATACCACGGCCTCACAGAAAACTGACGTGAAGCAACGCTTGCGTTGTTTCATCATGTGAGTGAGGTTACCGGAGGCCCAATAACCCTCCCCTTCCCCAATCTCCCCAATCCCTGAATCCCTGATCGGATCCTAACGATCCTCAAACTCCTAATCCTCAAAAAGCCGGTAACGCACTTGTAACGCCTCTGGTGTTCCAGGTGTCCATGGGCGACGCCGATTGCTTACCATCAGGTGATCCGTCTGCTCGTATACCGGCTTATGCCATAAAAAAAATCGTTATTTTTTGCGTTGTGAATTCGCATCGCAGCTTTATGTACGAGCCCTGATATGTATAAAAAACCACATAATGATCAGTATCGGTTTTACCGTGCGCTGACTCAAAATAATAGATACATGTAAAAAATCTAGGTGAACCGGTAACTCATGATACGGACAGACAGACAACGGAATCATTTCTATTATTAGAGACATAACATACTTTCTTTTAATGAGTTTTGAATCACTATTAATGTTATATAGTGTCGTGGTGGCCCGGAGGTTTAAGACGCCCGCTTCTCACTTGTTTCACTTGTTTCCGTATTATATATACTTTCTAAGACTATCTATGTAGACACCACTGACAAACGGTGAAGGAAAAAATCGTGAAGAAACCTGTGTGCTTACTCTTGAATCCAATTCCGATCGATCGACATTGTTATTATGAAATATCGTACTCTTGAGTTGCAACACTAGCGCCCATTGCATCCGTATTCCGTGGATATTGAATGAACTAAATGGTATTGAGTTTGTCTTTATATTCCGTACTCTGAATGCTATTGTAACAGCTACGATTGTAGTTGTATAGTGTTGACATTGAATAATTCTTGATAATTTATTGGATTGAAATTGTATTGATATTGAGATTGATTTCAAGAGTAAGCAACCTGGTGTGACACAATGCTTGCGATGTGTTTCGCCCTGCAAATGAGGTTTTGCCCCTCCATATCAAAATCCCCCAACCCTAAAAGCCCTAACCTCTTTAATGGTGTGAGTATTCATGGGACCATCAGATAACCAGTCTGCTCGCCCCATGAGAAAAGCTATTCAGAAGTAGTAAAAATTAACCGTGTCAAGGTGAGATTTAAAAAACTAGTCTGCCAATGTCCCCAATACATGTTATATGTAATAACATCAACAGCCTATAAGTGGCCACTATTGGCCAAAGGCCTCTTCACACACGGGGAAGGTTTAAGCATTAATCACCACGCTAGCTTAATGCGGGTTGTATTGACATTTAGATTGGTTTTAAGAGTAAGCACCATGAACTTATAATTTCTAATTCATCATCACTTTTGCCGACTGCCTTTTGCCGTGTACTAATAAGTTGTCGTGGTGGCCCGGAGGTTTAAGACGCCCACTTCTCATGCATGAGGGTGCGGGTTCGAAACCTACCAACGGCAAGTACCAATGTGACTTTTTCCGAGTTATACGTACTTACTTTCTAAGATTATTTAGACACCACTGACAAACGGTGAAGGAAAAACATCGTGAGGAAACCTGAACTTATAATTTCTAATTATAAGTTTGGAATCGCCAACCCGCATTGAGCAAGCGTGGTGATTAATGCTCTAACCTTCCCCTTGTGAGAAAAGGCTTTGCTCAGCAGTGGGCATTTATAGGCTGTTGATGAATATTATTTAGACACCACTGACAAATGTAATAATACCAATAGAGTATCGAGGCGTTGTGTTTGAAATTATCTGTACAGATAAATAAAATTGGAATGTCGAACGGAATGAGCATCGGAACAGTGGCAAACACAATTAAAGATATATCTAATACATAACATCGCGCCTTTTATCCCCGAAGGGGGAGCAGAGGTGTACATTATCGACTGTTGGTGCGGTGGCTGGGCAACTGGCTGCCGTGCAACGTGTCACGGGTTCGATTCCTGCAAGGAACAACACTTTGTGTGATCCACAAATTGTTGTTTCGGGTCTGGGTGTCATGTGTATGTGAACTTGTATGTTTGTAAACGTACCCACGGCACAGGAGACAATCCTAATGTGGGACAACGTCGCGGAGAACCTAACGGGTAACCGGGGCTCCAGCTCGACGTGCAGGAGAAGGAACGGGGTGGTTTTTAGTCAGTAAGAGTCTGACACTCCCTTCCGCCTCATCCAGGCGGGAGCAGGCATTCGATGATTTTCCCCGCTTAAAAAAAAAATGTGGGACAACGTTTTTTTTTTAAATAAAAGACATATAACTGTGCAATGTAACACCCACTTTTCACTATTAATGTTATGAGTCCCATGTAATAGGGGGTGAGCCTACTGCCATATACCGGCCACAATTTCAGACTCCGTGCTACTACTGAGAATCTTTTGAAAAACCTATATAACATCATAACATCACGCGTTTTATCCCCGAAGGAGTAGGCAGAGGTGCACATTATGCCACTGTACAATGTAACAGCTTTCTCCCAGCTTTCTCCCCCGCACATATGTGGCTGTCCGCTGTTACCCCGTTTGGTAGCTTGAGCGAAGTTCCCCACACGTCGCGACACTCCTCCATATTCCACACTGGGAGAGACACGGATCGGAGGACGAAGGAGTGATCTCCTCCTGTGGACACAAATATAACATAACATAATATCACGCTTTTTATCCCCGAAGGGGTAGGCAGAGATGCACATTATGCCACTGTAGTAACACCCACTTTTCACTATTTATGCTATGAGTCCCATGTAATAGGGGGTGAGCCTATTGCCATATACCGGGCACAGTTCCAGACTCCGTGCTACTACTGAGATTTTTTTAAACCTAGTAATACTTTGCCCGACCCGGGAATCGAACCCGAGACCCCTTGCCCAGCAGTCGCACTTGCGACCACTCGGCCAACGAGGCAGTCAGTTGAAAAACCCAGTAATGTCTAATAGTGTCTGTCTTTGTTTCTATACCGCAATGTAACCCACTTGTGTCAAATATCGGAACATAATAATATTGTATGACTCAGCAAAAGTTATCTGGGTCAGATTCGTAACAAAAACTACACAGGGTTCGCCAAATGTTCGTGAACGAGCACCGTCGATTGGAACTGGTCAGCTCCAGACTGTATCATTTTATTTTATTATCCTCAAGGTTATTTTCTTTTTCAGTCTTTATGACTGGATTTAGGTGTTGCATTGTTCTCACATGATCGAACCAATAAAACTATGTAACTAGAGAATTGTATTGTAAACCTGATTGAAAAAGAGTAACCTATGGAGTTTCTTGCTCGTTCTTCTCCATAGGAATCTACACCTTGGAATGAGCAACTAGCTTCACTTATAAATTTTGTTGTTTGACGTTCAAAAGTGCCATCCTGGTCTAATTGAAATAAATGATTTTGACTTTGACTTTGACACATCTTTCTTTTCGCAAACGAGATGGATCACCTGATGGTAAGCAATAAATAGCTTTCTCTTGAAACCAATCTCAATGTAAATCCAATTTCAATCCAATAAAATCTCAATAATTATTCAATATCAACACTATACGACCACAATCGTAGCTGTTACAATAGCATTCAGAGTACGGAATATAAAGCCAAACTCAATACCATTTAGTTCATTCAATATCCACGCAATACGGATGCAATGGGCGCTAGTGTTGAACTCAAGAGTACGACACAATATCAATGTCTATTGATCGGAATTGGATTCAAGAGTAATATATTATCATAATACATCACAACATTACATCACATCACGCCTTTTATCCCCGAAGGGGTAGGCAGAGGTGGACATTACGGCACTTACTGCTACTGTACAATGTAATGCCGCGGAGATCATAACGGGTTACCGGGGCTCCGGCTCGAAGTGCAGGAGTAGGAACGGGGTGGTTTTTAGTTGGTAAGAGTCTGACACTCCCTCCCGCCTCACCTGGGCGGGAGAAGTCATTCGATGATTTTCCCTCTTAGAAAAAAAATTTAGCGAATCTTCACGCAGAAGTGTAGATAAGTAGATTGTAACAATGTAAATGTAAATGTTAACAATTATGTTTGTTTGTCCCCAGTAAATAATGCGAACATGGGCAGAACGAGCGTACTCACCACTCTACTGGCACTCTCCGTGATAAACGTCGCCACGGGGCAGTACTATGGTAAATATAACATTATATTATACTTTTAATAAATACCAACCCTACTCTTCTCGTGGGTGTCACATACCCGACTGGGAGATATCGACAGAGACCCTGCAGCAGTGCTCTCTGATAAACCTGAACCTTTTATACTGCGATCTCCAACCCAGCAGTAGACAGCTGCAGCAGTTTCATAAGCTGTTGATAATGATGATGATGATGAATCAAATTCTTACTTAGATGCTCACGATTCATGTGAAAATCAATTCTAGGTTACCTATAATACAGTCTCATTTTCCAAAAAGTCATCTATTACTTTATGATGATAAAAAGCAGCAAGCTCTAGCATGCTATTTAAAAACTAGCATGCTCTAGCATGCTATTTTTTATGTCAGCTACGTACTATCAACTGCCTCCTACATTCCTCCCCTAATGACCACGACCAATGTCGGAAGCGACCTATTTTAATGAAATAGGAGGCAAATGAGCAAATGAATCACCTGATGGTAAGCGATCAGCGCCACCCATGGACACCCGCAACACCAGAGGAGTCACAGGTAGCCGGCCTTTAATAGCAACGCTCTTTTCTTGAATGTTTGAAGGTCGTATCGGTTCGGAAATAGCGCCGACGACAGATCATTCCACAGTGTCGCTGTGCGAGGCAGAAAGCACGAGAGAAGCGCACAATTGTGGTATACATACATACATGCGTACTGCTAAGAAGTGGAATTATTTGCCAGAGTCTGTATTTCCTGAAGGGTATTTTTTTAAGGGGGTAAAATCATCGAATGACTGCTCCCGCCTGGGTGAGGCGGGAGGGAGTGTCAGACTCTTACTGACTAAACACCACCCCGTTCCTTCTCCTGCACGTCGAGCCGGAGCCCCGGTTACCCGTTAGGTTCTCCGCGACTTCTGCAGGGTATACCTGCATGTCTTTAAGGCCCGAGTGAATAGATCGGTTGTGGGACGACGTGCTCCATCATAGACCTCATCATCGCTTACCATTCGGCGAGATAGTGGTCGAACGTCGGCCCATTAAATATAAAAACAAAAATACAGCGACCGTCGCAGACCTTTATCAGTTCGCCTGCCCATCTTAAAGGTCGATTATGCGATAATAATAATTGTCTATTGCATAATGTTTTATAAATACAATAGCTTTTACCCGCGGTGTAAACAAAAGTATTGGTATAGATGGCGCTGTGTGTATTGATATATGTCACATAGGCTACATTTTATCCTTTTGTGACGTGAGCGAAGCCGCGGGTAAAAGCTAGTCGAGTAATAAAGATAAAAAGTCCAATCGAATTGAGAACCTCCTCCTTATTTTAGACGTCGGTCGTTTGAAAAATATATAAATAATGCGAAAGTTTGTCTGTTTAGTCATTATTCAATAACATCAAGACGGCTGAAGAAATCGGGATGAAATTTGGAAGAAAGATAGATTATGGCCTTTTTTAAGGGCAGAAAAGATTAAGACTTCTCCAGCCCGAGTGAGGCGAGAGAGTGTCAGACGCTTACTGACTAAAAACCACCCCGTTCCTACTCCTGCATTTCGAGCCGGAGCCCCGGTAACCCGTTAGTCTTCCGCGGATCTGTATAGGCATCAGCAATACTGGGTCCCATCTGTGGTGGTCTGATGGCTCTTTGAGACTAACGGAACGCGACGTGCAATGTGTCTCGGATCCGATTCTTACTACTGGGTGTTTAAATTAAAGAAATTCGCAGTAGTAGCACGGAGTCTGGAATTGTGCCCGGTATATGGCAATAGGCGCACCCCCTATTACATTGGACACATAATATAAATAGTGAAAAGTGGGTGTTACATTGTACAGTGGCATTAAGAGACGTTATGTGCGCCTCTGCCTATACCTTCGGAGATAAAAGGAGTGATGTTATGTTATGTTAAATAAGATAAGATTAACAGTATAACTTAATGGCGTAAGCTGTGGTGTTGTATATGTACATTTTCAATAAATAAATAAAATAAATTAATGTTTTTATCCCACGGAAATGTAGGCGAAGCTGCGAACAGACGCTAGTCATTATTATAATTATAATGAAAACTAGATAAACATATTTAGAAGTATGTAACCTTTGAAACTCGATTTTGGTCAATAACTTTTTTTAGTTAAACTTGTTATATAATAATAATAAGAGTGAATAAAAACATGTCAAACCTGCTACTGGCTGGTGCCTGTCGCCGAAACTATTCATTAAATCTTGTGACGAAAATATATCGTAAAAAGCAAACATGAGTACCTATACATACATCATACAAATAGATGTTGTTTTTTTTGAAGGGGGGAAAATCATCGAATTACTGCTCCCGCCTGGGTGAGGCAGGAGGGAGTGTCAGACTCTTACTGACTAAAAACCACCCCGTTCCTACTCCTGCATTTCGAGCCGGAGCCCCGGTTACCCGTTGAGTTCTCCGCGGCTCCGTATCAGCATCAGCCCTATTGGGCCCCATCCTTGGTGGCCTGATGGCTCTTTGAGGCGCGCCGTCGACGATCACGTTCGTGAAGGCACAGCGGTGCTCAGCCCACGCAGGGCATTCACCTACTGTGTGTTCCACCGTGTCTTCAGGGCGGTCCTCGCAGTGATGACATCCGGGCGTTTCCTCCTTGTTATTGACATTTGTTAGTGTGGGGGCTATTCGCAATTCGTTCTCCTCCTTTTGTGAAGCAGTCATGCTAGCTAAGGAGGAGGCGGAGCGCGTGAGGCAGTGGAGCGCTGCCTCCTTGCAACCCAGCCATCGCGAAGGACACACGTCGTCGTCGTCAGGGAGTCGTCGTCGTCGTCGAGATCGCGGGACGATCTCCAGCCACAGTAAGCGCGGGCTTTAGTAAATAATTGTAAAACATCTGCTTACGTAACATTTGAATATTTACAAATATAAGAATGATATTTGTTATGTCATAGGTATTTCTTATAATCTACCTATAACAAGATAATAATATGGCGCACTATAGTAATAAATTACGTTTAATACAAAAACAAAAAATCAATTTTATGACTACGACACAATAGATAGACGCCAAAATAACTTGTTTTGCAATAAAATCTTTACTATTATAAATGGGAACGTGAGTTTGTTTGTTTGTTTGTTCCACTTTCGCGCCGTAACTACTCAACCGATTGCTTTGAATTTTTGCAGACGTAAAGTTAGAAGTCTGGATTAAATAATAGGTACTTTTTATCCCGGAAAAATTTGATATTCTCGAGGGAAAACTAAATTATCTGTATAGATGGCGCTGTGTGTATTGGTATATGTCACATAGGCTACTTTTTATCCTTTTATGACGCGAGCTAGCTTCTGCCAACCGGCTGGCATTATGTGGAGCTGAAGAGCATGAATAATGCTTGCGTTATGTGAAGCCATGTAAGTGGGGTTATTAGAGAGGTCCACGTTCCCTTTTGTTTCTAAATCCCCCCCAAAAGACCTATAATGCACTTGTAACCCAGAGGGCTGGCAGTGGCTTGAGAGACGCTACGGCGTCCTCACCTACCGCCTGACGCAGGTCCTCACCGGACATGGAAGTTTCGGGAGGTATTTGTGTCTGATGGGGCGGGAGGAAACGCGCGGATGTCATCACTGCGAGGACCGCCCTGAGGACACGGTGCCCTCAGGGAAGTGATCGGCGATGGCGACCTCTCGCGTCCGGGCCTAGTGCAGGCCATGATGCGGAGCGAGGGGGACTGGGATGCCGTCTCCTCCTTTTGCATCTTATAAAATCACCATATTCGTCAGCCTGTTTCAGTCTTCAGCTAGACATTGTCCTCTAGAATAGTTTTTGTATTATATTTGATGGCTGCCTCGTTGTCCGAGTGGTAGCAAGTGCGACCGCCGGGCAAGAGGTCTCGGGTCCGATTCCTGGGTCGGGCAAAGTAATACTGGGTTTTTAAAAAATTCTCAGTAGTAGCACGGAGTCTGGAATTGTGCCCGGTATATGGCAATAGGCTCACCCCCTATTACATGGGACTCATAACATAAATAGTGAAAAAAGGGTATTACATTATGCAGTGGCATAATGTACAATTGTGCCTACACCTTCGGGGATAAAAGGCGTGATGTTATGTTATGTTGCATATTTGATGAGCCGACGTATGACCACTATCTCTCCTGGTGGTGAGCTATAATGCTGTCTACGATAGAGCCCGTCGTCCCATGGTGTACCACAGACCTCGATCATCAGTTCTTCTCATCAAATTTTCTCGAAATTACCAAATACTAATATTAAACTCGTCTTTTCCAGATGTCCTGCAAGGTCTTCAGCAGTTGTTCCAGCCGTACCAATCACCAGATTTCCTAAACCAATACAATGTGCCCACAAGATCACCACAAACATATAATATACAGTCAAACAGAAAACAGGGCAATCAGCGTCAAACTCAAGCACCTTCGAGCCAATATGAATACACATTCGCAACAACAGAATACCCTATCATCATAAAAAAGAATTCTAGTCATTCAAATCTAAACTCTCGTAATCTATCTAATAAGAATCAAAATAGCAATATTCTACTTAGTGACATATACCCTTATGTCACTACCAAAGCCCCTAAGTTATGGGGCAAGCCGATCACGACGGAAAATTATAATAATAATTTTTATTACAACGATGTCCGAACGACTGATAATATATTTGGTAGTGACTTCATCAGGCCAGTCACAGAGAATGTATTTGATCCAAAACCTGCCAATTTGATATATGAAAGTCACAATTTTGAGACGAATTACCCAAACAACGGTAACAGGGTAATCCAGTACAATAATCGTAACAATAATAATAAAAATCGGGGGATACTGAACACGGATTATAATTCGGATTACTCCTCGACGATTAATAGAAATCCGGAATCTTACTCTAATAATAGAGGTAACTCTAATAGACGGAATAACAATAACAGTAACAACAATAGGAATACGAATTATAATGGGTATTTAAACACTGATAATCAAAATTATAATAGACCAAACAATAAAGTACCAACAACATTTGAAATCCCGGATTATAATAACCAAGGAGCTAATAGAGGTGATAATTATAATCCTAACAATAATTACCCTTCGGATAATAATCCATTGATAAATCGACCAGGAGTAAAACCAGCGCCAGTTAACGATGACCTGCCGCCGATAACGAATCGGCCAGTCTTTAATACTAATAATGGTGTCAATAGACCTACTGAGAGCTCTTATCAAGCCGATGCAGAACCTGAAATATTGATAGGCCCCGATGAGGATGATATGAGTGACAGAGAAAAGAGAAGATTTGAGGATATTACGGAAAGGAGTAAGTGGATTTTAATGTTTTTTTTACTATAAGTGAGGAGAATGGGGAACTCTAATTTTTGGTCAGTTATGTTATGAGTCCCATGTGATACAATTCTATTGCCATAGAGGTATATGTATAGGTCACTCTGTACCGGTAAACAAAGTATCAAATTCAATGCTGCTTTTGAGAAATTTCGGAAATTCTGAAAATCTCAACATCCCTAAAAGTTCGGCTATACCATCACCCCTAAAAGGCTAATAAACGAGCAGACGGATCACCTGATGGTAATCAATCGGCGCTGACTATGGACACCCAAACACCAGAGGTGTGAGAAGTGCGTTGCCGGTCTTTTGCGGATTGTTGGGGATTCGGGGATTGGGGTAATTGGGCCTCCGGTAACCTCACTCACACGACGAAACACAACGCAAGCGTTGTTTCACGTCGGTTTTCTGCTCGGCCGTGGTATCACTCCGGTCGAGCCGACCTATTCTTGCCAAAGCATGACTCTCCCACACTTGGATACCACATTTCTATTTCCTCTAGTGTTGTGAGTGCCCATGAGCGGCAACAATTGCTTACCATCAGGTGATCTGTGCTTGTTGGCCGTCCTATCCTATAAAAACCATATAGTCTACAGTCACACTTCTCCTCTTAAAATATTATTACCTTCTGATTTATTTCGTTGCGGGAATCAAGACAGTTATTCATGTCCCTGAGACGTTGGACTTCAATGTTCACGGGGTTTGTATTTTTGTATCTACTGTAGATCCTGGCTTACAGGAGTTGCTGCGGTTTTGGGAGGTTGTGGCGGGCTTGTCCCATTAAAAAAAGTCACACTTCTGATTTTATGACCGCTCCAGAAGAGACTCAATCAATTTCAATTTTAATCTTAATGATTAAAATATTATGTTTGAAGAGTAGGGTGTTGGGGTAGTCTTCACCAGTTGACAAAGTTAACAAACAGCGTTTTCGATAGCATATATTGAAATTTTAATCTATAGGACAAATCCTTTTCCGAGACGACGAAGGGTACCTTGAAAACTAGGAACTTGTACCTTTAAAAGCACAAAAATTGTCCAACCGTCGTGGATTCAGTAATTTTGTTAGTGAGCAAAGCTAGTGAGTGAGGTTTCTATTAATCATTCCAATTAGGACGTGAATCTAAAATGCAACACTAGATCAGTCTCAACATATTCAACAAACACGCAGGGGCGTCATTAACTCACAGATAATCTTAACACCGCGATTCAGTTTATGATGACACGCTACAGTTCCATCTATAACAGAGTGATGGAACTAAAGTTTACCGAAGCGCGCGGTCCGCCGTATAGATGTCACTAGTAAACTATTTGTTTACATTTTCTTATGGTAGATAGGTAGATACTGTACCTCATGTAACACCAATTGTACACATGATATACAATAAAAGAATTTGAATTTGAATTTGTAGTTACATGTTTTATTTTTTCCAGTGTGTGAACGTTACAAAGCCCTGACCGTCAAGAAGATAGTGGCACTACCCCTGATCCCCTCTCCAGATCCAGTAGAGGTGAATGTATCCGATTGCACTCCTATAAACGTGCCCCTAATCATAGGGGGTAAAGTGGTCAGCATTAGGGAGTTCCCACATATGGCTCTGATTGGGTGGCAGAAGCTGAAGGTAAGGATTTTGAGATATAAAAAATTATTACGACTGTCTCGTTGGTCGAATGGTCGCAAGTGCGACTGCCGGGCAAAGCGTCTCGGGTTCGATTCCCGGGTCGGACAAAGTATCACAGGTTTTTTTTTAATCTCATCTCTTACGTCTTGTCATACAATGTCTTTTATATCCAAAAATCGCGGGTTACTCACGAGAATATACTGAGAAAAGCTCTACCAGTTTTGAGTCATACAGGAACTCTTCCTCATGAACACCATGATGCGATCGCGGCGAAGTCCCGCAGCCGATTGAGAAAGAAACCCGCGATTTTTTGTTAATTCAGTATGTCTCACGATAGTTATTATGTCGGCTATTGTACATTATGTTATGGTATGTCCTCAGAATACCGGCTACTCCTGGAAATGTGGCGGCTCTCTGATCAGCGACCAGTACGTGCTGACTGCTGGACACTGCACCTACCAGGATAAGGACTATGACGTTGTCAGGTAAAGTCAGCACCAAGGACGTTGACATAATGGCGGACGTAATGTCCCTTAGACATGATTAAACTGTCAAACACCGAGCGGTCACCGGTGACCGCAACTTATTGTTCTTTGATTGTGTCTATAAATACGGTACTCGACGAGTTAAAGCACCAAAATGTCAGTGGTGTATTCTCTTTTTTGAGGGAGGAATATTATCCAATGACTTCTCCTAATCCTTGGATTAGGCGAGAGGGAGTGTCAGACTCTTACTGACTAAAAACCACCCCGTTCCTACTCCTGCACTTCGAGCCGGAGCCCCGGTAACCTGTTAAGTTCTCCGCGGCTCCGTATCGGTATCAGCCCTATTGGCCCCCATCCGTGGTGGTCTGGCTCTATGAGGCGCGCGCGGAACGCAACGCGCCGTACGCTCGGGTCTGGTTCTGGTCGAGCGGCGAGCCACCCATGCTCGAAGTCAAAGTCAAAGTCAAAGCATTTATTTCAATTAAACCATAGTTTGGTGCTTTTGAAACGTCAACAAATACAAAATAAATAATAGTCTGTCAGTCAGTCCGTCCGTGAAACTAGGTGAAGCTAGGTGCTCATTCCAAAAAGTAGATTCGAATGGAGAAGAACGAGCAAGAAACTCCATTCGTTACTCTTTTTTTTAAAAAGTATGTTCTACTCGCCATCCGCAGTCCCAACTTTCTTGGGTATTGACAGATTTTAAAATTAAACTCAACTGAATGTCGGAATTTTAAATGAAGTGGGGTGGTCACTTCTATTCTTCTTCTTGGTCTTATATTGTGTAGTTTCTGTGAGGCCGTAGTATCGCTCCAGTGATGGTAGCCAAATGCCATTCAGCGCTTGTCTACATGTAGAATAGAAAACCAAATTATATAGAATTGACGTAAATTTTGACACTTGTCATTGTCATCCCCATACATTTAGTTTTCTACTCTCTCTGTAGACAAGCGCTAAAGTGGCGTTTGGCTAAAGGCACAGTTTAGCCGGCCCATCCGTATCTAAGCATGGCTCTCCCAAAATCTGATTTATTATTACTGTACCTTATTTACGTTTTTACGTTATGAAAGTCTGCCTCGTTGGCCGAGTTGTCGCAAGTGTGACTGCCGGGCAAGGGGTGTCGGGTTCGATTCCCGGGTCGGGCAAAGTATTACTGGGTTTTAAAAATTCTCAGTATTAGCACGGAGTCTGGAACTGTGCCCGGTATATGGCAATAGACTCACCCCCTATTACATGAGACTCATAACATAAATAGTGAAAAGTGGGTGTTACATTGTACAGTGGTATAATGTGCATCTCTGCCTACCCCTTCGAGGATAAAAGGCGTGATGTTATGTTATGTTATTAAAAAAATAGAAAGTTTATTAATTAACATTTAATTTTTCGTTTCCAGTGGACCTCCCCAAGCTGTCCAGCTAGGTTCTTCCTACCTGGATGACCCTGGAGCGCTGGTGGTGAAGGTGCTGGCAGTCATCAGACACCCCAAGTACAAGCAGAGGAGAGCGTACCATGATATAGCGCTGATCAAACTGGCTAATAAAGTCAAGTAAGTCATTTTAGGGAACAGAGAGTATAGTTCCCTAAGATCGGAAAAGGAGGATCCTCCGACCAGGCGAGATGATCGTGCCTGGCGGGCTTTCTGCCCAACAGTTGTTCGTTGGGATTTTCTATCCGTGTTTATTCGCTTGTAAACTTTGCATGTGCGATGTAGGATTTTTGTGACGTCATCCGTTGACATGTGGCATGCGTCGCCACATCATCATATTTTTAACAGACCTCACATAAAGAGGGAAGCTTTAAATCTGCTATTACAATAGTGTCAGAATAATCGACCATTGATTTTAAAATTATTCATTTTGACAAATTTGGTAATTCACTAATGTAATGGCGTCATTTTGACTTTCTAATGGTCAAACACTGACACCGCACGGCCGAGTGGTTGCACTTGCGACCACTCGGCCAATAAGGCAGTACATACATCCTTACTTAATATTATAAATCGGAAAGTGAGTTTGTTTGTTTGTTCCGTTTTCACGCCGTAACTACTAAACCGATTGCTTTGAGTTTTTGCAGACGTAAAGTTAGATGACCGGATTAAATAATAGGGTACTTCCCATCCCGGAAAACTTTGATATTCCCGAGGGAAAACAAAAGTATTGGTATAAATGGCACTGTGTTTGTGTATGTCACACAGGCTTCTTTATATCCTTTTGTGACGCGAGCGAAGCCGCGGGTAAAAGCTAGTACATACATAACTTCACGCCTGTCTCCCATGGGGGTAGGCAGAGACTAAGGAACGCCAATTACTACGATTCCTACATACCTCTTTCGCTTCATTAACAGTCATCAATCTTTTCATGCATGCTCGTCGGTCAAAAGTACTAATAAATTAATATAATTCACAAAAATCCAACAAGCGTTCTTACTGTTTCAGATTTTCCGAAGTGATACGTCCAGCATGCTTGGGCGAGCCTCCACCGGAGGGGAAGAGCATCATTGCTACAGGGTGGGGACGGACGGAATTTGGTGAGTTAAAGAAATAATTGACGCCTCTTTGACCGAGTGGTCGCAAGTGCTATTGCCGGGCAAGGAGTCTCGGGTTCGATTCCCGGATCGGGCAAAGTAATACTTGGTCTTTAAAATAAAATTCTCAGTAGTAGCACGGAGTTTGATTGGGCGACGTTTGACCACTAACTATCTTGCCTGGTGGTGCACGATGATGCGGTCTACGATGGAGCACGTCCCATAAGCAACCTATTCACTCGGGCCTTGAAGACGGTTGTACCCTTCAGGAAACACAGACTCTGGCAAAGAATTCCTCGGGTAATTGGGCCTTTGGTAACCTCACTCACACGACGAAACACAATAGAAACGTTGTTTCACGTCGGTCTTCTGTGAGGCCGTGGTATCACGTCTGTCGAGCCGGCCCATTTGTTCCAAACGCCCAAGCATGGTTCTCCCACACTTAAGTTTCTACTTAATTTCTAAACTTAGTTTCTGTAACATTATATATTCCCGGGTCCGGCAAAGTATTACTGGGTTTTAAAAAAAATTCTCAGTAGTAGCACGGAGCCTGGAATTGTGCCCGGTATATGGCAATAGACTCACCCTATTACATGGGACTCATAACATAAATAGTGAAAAGTGGGTGTTACTACAGTGGCATAATGTGCATCTCTGCCTACCCCTTCGGGGATAAAAAGCGTGATATTATGTTATGTTATGTTATATTTGTGTCCACAGGAGGAGATCATTCCTTCGTCCTCCGATCCGTGTCTCTCCCAGTGTGGAATATGGAGGAGTGCCGCGACGTGTGGGGAACTTCGCTCAAGCTACCAAACGGGGTAACTGCGGACAGCCACATATGTGCGGGGGAGAAAGCTGGGGGAAAGGATACTTGTCAGGTAAGTTGGTTTGTTCATTTAAAAATAACTAGCTGTGCCCCGCGACTTCGTCCGCGTATAATAATGACTTGGATATTTTAACCCTTTTTTTTAAGGGGGGAAAATCATCGAATGACTGCTCCCGCCTGGGTGAGGCGGGAGGGAGTGTCAGACTCTTACTGACTAAAAACCACCCCGTTCCTTCTCCTGCACGTTGAGCCGGAGCCCCGGTTACCCGTTAGGTTCTCCGCGACTTTTTTTTAACCCTTTGAGTACCGTCATTATAGACACAGTTAAAGATCAAGACTGCCTTGTTGGCCGAGTGGGCGCAAGTGGGACTGCTGGTCAAGAGGTCTCGGGTTCGATTCCTGGGTCGGGCAAAGTATTACTGGGTTTTTAAAAATCTCAGTAGTAGCACGGAGTCTGGAAATGTGCCCGGTATAATTATGGCAATAGGCTAACCCTCTATTAAAGTGCGACTGCCGGGCAAGAGGTCTGGGGTTCGATTCCTGGGTCGGGCAAAGTAATACTGGGTTTTTTTAAATTTTTCAGTAGTAGCACGGAGTCTGGAATTATGCCCGGTATATGGCAATAGGCTCACCCCCTATTACATGGGACTCATAACATAAATAGTGAAAAGTGGGTGTTACATTGTACAGTGGCATTTAGTGCCGTAATGTGCACCTCTGCCTAACCCTTCGGGGATAAAATGCGTGATGTTACGTTAACACGTTAAACGCCATGGGGGTCATCGGTGACCGGCGTTAGCGGAGGATTTACCTTCATCAGTTTTTTATTGGCAGTCGAAGTCTTAGTATAATGCGTCAAGCGTGTCTTTGCATTGTTCTTACATATGCGTACAGTAGTGAAATATGTATCAGAGACATTGTAGAACATACTTTTTTAAAAAGAGTAACGAATGGAGTTTCTTGCTCGTTCTTCTCCATTCGAATCTACTTTTTGGAATGAGCACCTAGCTTCACCTAGTTTCACTGACGGACTGACTGACAGACTATTATTTATTTTGTATTTGTTGACGTTTCAAAAGCACCAAACTATGGTTTAATTGAAATAAATGCTTTGACTTTGACTTAATGTTATGTTATGCCATTATTATGCTAGGTCAACTCATCTCATGTCATGTCATCCACAGGGAGACTCCGGCGGCCCAGTGCAACTACAATCCGGCTGTGTATGGAGAGTCATCGGCGTTACATCCTACGGCAGGTCCTGTGGGGCGCCCCATACCCCGGCGCTGTATGCAAGGTTGCCAAGAGCGTTCATTGGAGCCCAACTGTATGGAGAGAATTATCAATAAATATTATTATTATATGTTATTTGGAGTTTTATTATAGTTGCTATGTCGTGAGCAGTGTACGAACAAATAACGCATAAATAAATCCTTACTAATGTAATATTATAAATCGGAAAGTGAGTTTGTTTGTTTGTTTGTTCCGCTTTAATGCCGTAACTACTGAACCGATTGCTTTGAATTTTTGCAGACGTAAAGTTAGAAGTCTGGATTAAATAATAGGGTACTTTTTATCCCGGAAAAATGTGATATTCTCGAGGGAAAACGAAATTATTGGTATAGATGGCGCTGTGTGTACCTATTAGCAAATGTCACCTAGGCTTTTTATCTTTTGGTGATGCGTGCGAAGCCGCGGGTAAAAGCTAGTGGATAAATAAATCTTTATTCATTATAATAAAGATAAAAGATAAAGATAAAGATACTTTTATTTTGCAAATATGGGTAACAATTACAGGTGACATAAATATACAGGTTCAGCCATATTTTACCATTTAAGCATGCAAATGATATACATAGTAAAATGCATTGGATAATATGTTACAATTGAAGACAAACAACCCAATAAAAAGAAAAAACATAAACAAAAAAAGAAGACCATAAATTAGGAACACAGTTTTCAATTCAAGCACTTACAAAAAAAAATCCTTCTCATTCAGATACTCAGGCAAACTATAATATGCTTTAGCCACTAAAAAGCTGCGGATTTTTTTTTTAAATAAATGTAGCGGAAGCTCCTTCCAACCCTTAGGTATCCTATTATAAATAACTGAAGCCATGCAGTAGACACTCTTGCGCATAAGTGCTGTCTTAGCTGGCTCTTTACATAGCAGACTATTATCGCGTCTGTTGCGGGGAAATACATCGGCCATGCGATTAAAACGACTAGGGTTTGTCTTCACGAACACAGCTACTTCCAGGATATACAAACTAGGCAACGTCAATATTTTGTAATTTTTAAAGAATGGTTCACAACTATCTGTAGATTTTAGCTTAAACATCGCTCGTAAGCACTTTTTTTGTGCTTTGAAAGCGGTTTCTCTTTCAGTAGAGTTTCCCCAAAATATAATCCCATACCTCAAATGTGATTCTACAGTTCCATAGTAGGCAGTAAGAAGTGCATTTCTGTTGACTATAGTTGATAATCTATGTAATGCATATGCAGACTTACTTATTCTCTTACATAAACTATCCACTTGTGATTTCCAATTCAATTGTTGATCTATTTGCAAACCCAAAAACTTTGTACTTTCAACTTCTTCTATAGTATTATTGTTGTTCTGTACTTTCAAATTTATACTAGCAGTCTGTTGTCTAAATTGGATAAATTTCGTCTTATTTAAATTTATCTTCAAATTATTTGCATCTAGCCAGTCTACTGTTTGTTTTAAACTATTGTTAATATCTCTCTCGTACGTAACTATATTTTTACAAGGAATTGTAATCGTTGTAAATAAATTGGTCATAGTACAGATTGTTAAGTGTGGGAGCGCCCTGCTTCGGCACGACCTCACAGAAAACCGACGTGAAGCAACGCTTGCGTTGTGTTTCGTCGTGTGAGTGAGGATACCGGAGGCCCAATTACCCTCGCCTTCCCCAATCTCCCTAATTCCTGAATACCCAACAATCCTCAAACTCCTAATCCCCAAAAGGCCGGTAACGTACTAGTAACGCCTCTGGTGTTCCAGGTCTCCATGGGCGACGCCGATTGCTTACCATCAGGTGATCCGTCTGATAAAAAAAGAGAGCGATCTCACTAGGTTTGAATGCCTGTACTAGGAAGAATATCCTGTATCACAGGCGAAAGCACCCACAATATTACTAATTCTAGGACAAGTTATTTATATAAACAAACTAGCTTTTACCCGCGGCTTCGCTCGCGTCACAAAAAGATAAAACGTAGCCTATGTGACTACCCATCCCTTCAACTACCTTCAGTTGAAAAATCACGTTAAGTACCTCCGTTTTGCCGTTTAAGACAGGCAAACAAACAAACAGCTGTTCGCTTGCGTGGAATTCGGTTATAACGCGCGTTTTAGATTTTTCCGTGGGAATGAGAAGTTCTGCCGCGGTAAAGCCTTGCTTTTCCAGGACTCAAACTACCTTTATACCAAAATCGATTCAGCCGCGTGAAAGAACAGAAGAAGTTATTTTCGCATTACCACAAATACCTCCTCCCATTTTAATTTAAAAGACTTCTATTATAAGGGTTATATTTGCAATGCTAAACCAAAACTGAGTGGTAAACTATATTATACGTTTTATTATCGAAAACCTAACTACTTTAGACATCTACTTAGAAATAAACCACTTCACTAATCTAACCTAACTAATATAGCTACTGTATCAATCAACGTAAACAATGAACAAAGCGTCTTAGAAGTTAGAACGACGAAAAAAAATTACTATAGTACTTTAAATATCTACCTAGAAAAAATAACACTTGACTAATCAAACCTACAAAGCGAACAAATAATAATCAATATAAGCGCTAGATGCGTACCCTAAAATATAGTTGATACGGAAGCTCGGAACCTATACTTTCGCCGGTAACGAAACCATAGCGCCATCTAACTCGATCCTAACGCCATCTATCGAGCGTTGAAACAACAGCGTACAATATATTTGCTAATTGTTGAGTATTGTTGCCACTATGGTTTCGTGTACCTTTAACAATCTAAAATCTATAAAATACGCAACTTAATGTAAAATGGTTGGAACCAAAATTTAAAAGCGAAGAATACTTAAAAAACACAACGCTATTCCGTTTTATAAACACTCAGCGCCATCTATCGCCAAGTAGCGTAACTACCACATAGACACCAATTTCGTGTACCTTTAACAACCTAAAATCTATAAAATACCCAATTCAATGTAAAATGGTAGGAATCAAAATTTAAAACCGATAAAAATACTTAAAAAACAACGTTACCCCGTTGAATATATAATAATAAACACTCAGCGCCATCTATCGCCAAGTAGCGTAACTACTACATAGTCACCAATTTTGTGTACCTTTAACAACCTAAAATCTATAAAATACGCAATTTAATGTAAAATGGTTAGAACCAAAATTTAAAAGCGAGAAATACTTAAAAAATAGCGTAACTACTACATAGACACCAATTTCATGTACCTTTAACAACCTAAAATCTATTAAATACACAATTCAATGTAAAATGGTAGGAACCAAAATTTAAAAGCGATAAAAGTACTTTAAAAGCACAACGCTACCCCGTTTTATAAAACTCACGCCATCTATCGCCAAGTAGCGTAACTACTACACAACGTTACCACGTTGTGTTTTTTTAAGTATTTTTACATAAAATATAGCAAATAAATGAGAAATAAATGAGTCGAAAAGCGCACTGAATAAGTGTAGATTAACACCAAATAAGCGCTATAGATTAAAGCGTGTTTGCAATTAGTAGGTAATTCGTTGAATTGTTTTCGATGGCACAAAGCGCCATCTACAGGAATACACACAGCGCCATCTATACTAATATTTTTGTTTTCCCTCGGGAATATCACATTTTTCCGGGATAAAAAGTACCCTATTATTTAATCTGGACTTCTAACTTTACGTCTGCAAAATTTCAAAGCAATCGGTTTAGTAGTTACGGCGTGAAGGTGGAACAAACAAACAAACAAACAAACTCACTTTCAGATTTATAATATTAGTAAGGATTCCTTAACATAAGTAATCGATCAAAAGTAAAGTAAAGAATAGGTCGGGTCGCGTACAACGCTTAGGGCTTATGCACAAAACATAACGAATTCGCAACGCGATGCGCGATACGCGAACTTGCATAATCATTGTTAATGTGAGAGCCCTGTAATTAACTAAATATTAAATTGGACTAGTAGAATGCATTTATGTCAGCTTGGAGTTGTTATGTTCACTCAAAGATCGAATTGGCGGTGGCACGTGCATTGGGTCGCTAGATTCCCTGCAATATGATTGAGTTGGGCGGTGCTGGTGTACGTGTCATGTTCGTGAACGGGCGCCGTCAACTGTGACTGGTCAGCTCCAGACTGTATTATTTATTGTCTTTAAGGGTTATTTTCTTTTTCGATCTCTTTGGCTAGATTTGGTGTTACATTGTTCTCGCACAATCAAACCAATAAAACTGTGTAACTGAAGAATTGTATTGTGAAACTGATTGGAAAAGAGTAACCTATGGAGTTTCTTGCTCGTTCTTCTCCATAGGAATCTACACCTTGGAATGAGCAAATAGCTTCATTTTTAAATTTCTATTGCTGACGTTCAAAAGTGCCTTCCTGGTCTAATTGAAATAAATGATTTTTGACTTTTGACTTTGACTTTGACTTTGATGCTAATTGCTGCAATGCGATTTTGTGCGATAAGGCGTCTCCCAGGGTGACCATTACTTCGACCACCGGCAACCGTACTAAACGTATTTTAAATTGAAAACTAGGCCGTGACATGGACTGTAAAAAGAAGTGTGCACTTCTGTTATTGCTTAGGAGATACAGGAAAAAGAAACAAAGAAGATTTTGGGAAGATAAGATCTTGATGCGCGATGCAAATCAATTCGCACATTTTTGCGATGCGACGTCGCATCGCAGTTTTGTGTACGAGCCCTTAATTCGCCGTGTGAATGAGGTGATCGTGAGCTCAATTCCTCCTCACCGCCATCCCCAAATGTCAAATGCCTAATCCCCAAAAGTCGGGGACGTACTAGTAACTCCTCTAGTGTTGTGGGTGTCCATGGGCGGTGTAAGATCACCTGATAGTAAGCAAGTTTACTGGCCTATACCGACTATTACGGCTTCGCTGTGATTTCTGAAAAAAAGATTTCAAACTTATAATTAGTAATTATAAGTCCAGGTTTCCTCACGATGTTTTCCTTCACCGTTTGTCAGTGGTGTCTAGATAATCTTAGAAAGTACATATGACTCGGAAAAAGCCACATTGGTACTTGCCGTTGGTAGGTTTCGAGCCCGCGCCTCGTATAAATATGCACCTCTGCCTACCCTTTTTAGGT